TAAAGTGGGCAGAAAGGTGATGGTGTGATTTGCAAAAGCATTTGAAATAATTGAAACTTCACAATGCATTTTATCTCATTACAGGAAAGCCATTGGAACTCCATCAAAGGTACAGTGTATAATGTAATATAAGGAACCCTGTTTTTCCCCCATTCCAGCCCAAAGAAATGACTCTAAAATAATCTCTTTTATTTAGGGATCAGAGTGCAACAGAAATGGAGGGTGATGACTGTAAGTACAACGGTTTCACATGAATTTAATTTGAGGTGGTAGATAAGGGAATGCATTTAGAAAACTGTGTGCCAGAAATGTCTTGGCAGATATTATGAAGTGCACAAATAATGACCAAGGAACATTAAATGCATACAGTGGGGCCTTGATATCCACTGCGGTTTTGATACAAAAATCCATGGATACTCAAGTTTCATTATATCCAAAGGCTCAGTACAATAGTGTCCCTTATATAAAATGGCAAAAATCAAGTTTGCTTTTGGGATTTTTTGGGGAATGTTTTCAAGCTGTGGATGATTGAATCCATGGATACAGAGGGCCAACTGTTTTGACGTTGTTAACATCTCTAAATTCTGCATATAATGTCACAGCTTAACTAGTTTCTGATCTGGTCTCAAAGTCCAACAGAATAACACAGTAAAATCCTAAAGTGAGAGTGTGAAAAAAAACAAAACCCTAATCTGTCAGTAATTTTATCAGTTTTCTTCCTGCTGTGAGAAAGTGTACAAAAACCACTCCACTTTGGAAGTCTGTTCGCAATTAGGGGCTTATTCTGTGCAAAATTCACATGTCATTTAAAAAAGCATTTTCTGTGCAAGAAACAGCACTTTCAGCTCAGAAAACAACATGCTTTCTTCTGTGCACAAAATATTGTTTTTAGTGCAAATCAACCACACACAATTTTTGTGCAGAATAAATCCCTAATTACAGCATTTTCGCCATGGCAAACAGCATTTTCTGCAGAGGAAACAGCATTTCTGCTTAGAAAATGTTATTTCTTGTGTAAAACCATCATGCACAGATTTTGCATAGAATATATTCTCATCCATCCAGAATTCTTCTCATCATAGATTCTTGAAAAGAATGGGAACATGGTTACACTTGAAAAACAAAACAAAACAAAACACAATTTTCAACTATTTTACAATTATTTTCAAATATTACTTCCATCCCTTCTAGATACCACTGAATATTGCTGAGTGGGTAGATCAGCTCTAAAACACTGAAGAACCCATTATTGCCATGCTCCCTTTTGAAAGATTAAGAAAAAATTTGATTTTTTCCCCCAAATAGCCTGTTTCAAAATCTGCCTATCTCCCTCCCCATTCCTTCATTTTACAGGTTCTCCATATGCAATCTCCAGTCACAATGATATAAGAGGAAATGAAGTGATCTATTCACTTGCAATGAGTCCTGGAGTAAACCCAACTACAGATCTATCTTTATTGGATCACAAACCAGCTTCTGGAAGACAACCTGGAGAAGATTTGCAAGCAATCTATGCAGTGGTGAATAAAAACTGAGCTTTAATAATACAGTGGACAGAATATTAATATTGGATATGGAAATCCCAGGCCTGAACTTTATTCAGCTAGGAGTGATCACTATCTCCAGTGGTGCTTGTGTTCTCCATGTTGGCAGTCCTACTCTGGATTTTAGTCCAAACTACAGAAGCTGTTGGGTCTACCTTAGAAATAGGATTCAGCAAAAGTTCTTTTTGCTGTTCCACCAATCACCGCTGCCAACAATCATCAGATGGTTGTCTTTTGGTCTTAGCCTGAAAATCAAAGAAGTTATCTAAGTGATGGACCCTAACCCTCCCAATAGCTTCAGCCCCTTAGATAGCACTTTTAAAGTTTGGACTAAAACCCAGAATGCATCGATCGCTCACTGACAGAGAGTTACCAGCTGTGATTAGTCCTATTTATAAAATCTCATTTGAAAAAAGACTTTGCTGAACAGAGGGACCTGGAGATCTGCACTTTGCATGAAGCCTAGTTTCCAAATTTGTATCTTTGGTCCATACACATTTTTAGATAGCGTGGCTATCTGGGATTGCAGCCTTCACGTGGGTCTGCTTTTAGATAGGCAATCTTTCTCTCCTCAAGTGTGGTAAAGAAATAAATATGTGAGGTGAGGTGACTACTTCTTGTTTGCATTTACCTTTAGATACTCTTAGACTTTTTGTATAAGTTTTGACTGGTTTGTGTTATTTCAATGTGCTTTGCTATTTTTTTAAATTAAAAAAAAAATAAAAATGTAATATGAACAGATTTTTTTTAAAAAAAGGTTCACCAAAAAATGGGAGCCAGTGTGGGATAGTGGTTTGAGCTTCGGACTGTGACCCTGGAAACCAGGATTCAAATCTCTGCTCAGCCATGGAAACTTGGGGACCTTAGGTGAGTCACACATTCTCAGCCCCAGAAAACCCTGTGATAGGTTTGTCTTAGGGTTGCCATAATTTGGAAATGACTTGAAGGCACACAACAACAAGCACCAATAAATACAAAGCAATGTACACACACTGATTTGATCTGAATATAGAGATCATTCATATTGTGAAAGGGATACAAGAAATGAATTGCACATGATGTGAAAAAGGATACTTCTTTTTGGCAACTCTGAGCCAGGACGTAAAGGTGCTCCAACCAGATGATTTAGGGCAAGGTCTGAGTACCTTACCCTTTGGGTCTCCTGGGCATCTTGGAGATGGTTATTGCTGCTCCACAGTGTCTCAAGTGTTTTTTTCCTTTGTGAAGCTAATAGGAAGCGGAGAGAAAAAAGCACAGGTTTTTTTCTTGCAAAGTGCTTGCAAAGGCTGGAATCCTGTTGGTGTTGTACACAGACACAAATTGCCCTAAAGGAACAGTTGACCATCTTTATCCAAAGGAAGATCATCTAGTTGAAGAAGTGATTCCCAAACATTGGTCCTTCAGATGTTTTGGAATTCAGCTCCCAGAATTCCTGACTGTTGACCAAGTTGGCTGGGGCTTCTGGGAGTTGAAGTCCAAAACCCTTGGAGGACTAAAGTCAGGAATCCCTGAGTTGAAGGTTGAAGAAGTAGAGTTGCACATGCGGTGCCCTTACCCATGCACATAATGCATTGCCCATGCCAGAAATAACCCGGTCAAAATGTACATCCTAAGACCACCTATCTAACTATCTGTCCACCTATCTATCTCTGATAGCAAAATAGTACAGTTTTTTCAAAGGAACAAGTGGAAAAATAGCAACTGGCCTTCATTCTCTGGGACACTAGATGGCATCCTTAAGCTTGCATGCAAAGGCTCTGAGTTTGCAAGGGTGTCCAAATTTCTATCCACTTGCCAATTACAGGTGCAAATCTCCCTTTGAAAGAGGTGGAAGCCATTTGTAGGAGAGGGGATGCTGCAGCAGCAAAGCTTACGGATGGGTGGACCAGGAACTAAAAGCAGAAATACTCCTCAGCCCCTTGCAAATCCCAGGATTCTGTAGAATGGTGCTCTGGCAGCTAAAGTGGTGTCAAACTGCATTATTCGACAGTGTAGATGCACCCTAGATCCATTTCAGTTTGGTTACATGACTTCCAACCTTGGCTTGCAATTGGACTTACCTCTGATCCAACCTGCATAGGATTGTGAGGCAAAAACAGGGATAGGGAGTGTATGGTTCTCCAATTGGATTGCAATTCCCATCCTCTATCACAATTGGCCTTGCAGGCAAAGAATGATGTGAGTCATAGTCCAACAATATCTTGAGGACCACACATTTCCCCAACGCTCCTTTAAAACAAACCATATTGTGTTTTGAATAACCTAATTGCTTGCGATTAAGTGCCTCTTTGGAGGTTTCTGTTAGCACTTGGGAAAGTTACATTTTTGGACAATGACTCCTGGAATCTCCTGCAAAGTATGTCCAATAAATGGACATATTGCTAAATCAAAGAGCTTGGCAAAGTTACATTTGGCATATTACAAAAAAATCAAAAAAATCAAAAAATCAAAAAAATAAAAAAAAAATCAGTGAGTTAGTTTATTGAATTGAATTGCCTCTATGGACAATTTTTTAAAAAAAAAACATTCTGAGGATTATGGGGTTTGTTATCCAAACAAGTAACTTTCCCAAGCTCTGACAATATGTCAATTTCTTTAAAATATGATGAATATGATGATCAATAAACAAGTCAATGGGCCAAGAATGACGATGTCTTTAAAAGAACCACTGGCTGCACATCCTATGGATTGTCAATGGCCATATTTTTAATTATTTGGTACATCCAACCTGTCCATTTGGAGATGAATCATCAAGAAACAAGCAAGAGATGGAAGGTGACTCAGCCGAACTGCTCAGAAGCATTTAAACACATTTTTATTCAGGCTGCAGTTGGGTGACTCAACGGAGCTGTTGAATTATATAGTCGCTGGGATCCAGATAAACTCAGCGCTTTTGCTTTTGGAAGACTGCATGGAATGAAACTGCCTTGGCAGATCCCTGGGTTCTTCATGCTTTTGTTCAGGAGCGATAAAATAAAATGGCCTTCCAAGCCATTCATATCACTCTTGCAGGGAATGTATATTAAAAACTAATTGATTAATTTGATGAGTTAATATTCCAGGCCATCTGAGACTGGCTTCCTTATCTGATGCTGCTTCTTCATTAGAGCTGTTATCGTGGCTTCTTTTCTGCCAGTTTACATTATCGTCTCAAATGCAAATCCTGAACTTGAGTTCTTGAGACGCCGGCGAAGGAGGCCAATGGACCTTTAATAGGAGACGCCAAAGGATTCCTTAGGAATAATAACCCTTCTTATCAGAATGAATGAGAGTCACTAAATGCAAGTGACTCATTCATTCTGTGTGTGCCTTCAAGTCATTTCCGACTTGTGGAGACCCTAAGGCAAACCTATCCTGGGGTTTTCTTGGCAAGATTTGTTTAAAGGAGGTTTGCCATGGCCATTCCCCTGAGGCTGAGAGTGTGTGACTTGCCCAAGGTCACCCAGTGGGTTTCATGGCCAAGTGGGAATTGAACCCTGGTCTCCAGAGTCATAGTCCAATGCTCAAACCACTGTACCAAGCTGGGTCTACATGGTTTGACTCAGATAACACATTTTTAATAGGTTTGAAAATGTGTGTGTGGATCAGGGAGGCAAATCTAGAAGCTTTGATTTCAGGGAAAGTGAGTCTTGAGGTCTTCAGTTCTGGGCTGCATCTGCACTGCAGATATAATCTAGTTTGACTCCACTTTAACTGCCATGGCTCAATGCTATAGCATTCTGGGATTTGTCATTTTGCAAGACACTTAGCCTTCTCTGTTAGAGAGAACTCTGGTGCCACAATAAAGTACAAATCCCAGGATTCCTTAGCATGGAGCCATGGCAGTTAAAGTGGTGTCAAACGGGATTATTTCTGTGGTGTAGATGCAGCCAGAGAGACCGGGATTCAAATCCTTGCTCAGGCATGGAAACCAAGGATCCCAAATCCCAGGATAGCATGGAGCTATAGCAGTTAAAGCAGTGTGAAACTGGATTATTTCTGCAGTGCAGGTACAGCCTGGGAAACTAGGGTTTGAATTACCGTTCAACTATAGAAACTCAGGATCCCAAATCCCAGGATTCCATAACATTGGGCCATGACAGGTAAAGTGGTGTCAAAGTGGATTAATTCTGCAGTGCGGAGGCAATGGAAGTCTCCCTGTGTTCAATAAAGTTCCTTTTAGAGAGACTTCAAAAGCAGGAGCACTGTTTCTCATGAATCGCTTGTGCCTTCTTGACCACAGTCTGATGTTATCTGGCCTCAAGCATCCTGGTTTTCATCTGCCCAGTGTTGGTGGCTATGCCATGCCTGGTTGGGGTGATTCTTGGCATCGAAATGCAAGATATCCCATTTTCAAGCTCTGAAAACACAGCCCCCCTCTGGGGCAGTGTATTATGCAGAATTATTTCTCAGGCACTGAAAAACCAGAGAGTTTGCCCCCATGTTAGCTTTCCCTGGGACTATTCATAAATAATCTACGCACGATTCGGTCTGTGTGATTCACTGCCAATGCGTTAGACTCATCAACATCCCCTGCCAAGGGAGCGCCAATTTCTTTTACAGCTGTTCGTCCCCAGAAGCAAAGTAGGTGCCTATTAAAAAATGCCAAGCCTCATCATCATTTCACGTCGAGGTGCCATGCTGTGAGTCTTCTCTGACTGTTAACAATTTCCAGTTTGCAACAGAAAGCAAACCTGCTGGGAGCTTCCTTATTTTCTCCTGACACCCTTGAGCTGGAGCAGCTTAGAAAGTGTGTGGGTGTGCTACAAACACAACTGGCACCAAATAGACTTGGTAACCTTCACAGGTTAAAAAGTGTAGCATTCGGAGCGGACGGCTGTGAGCCAACATGAGTCCTTTTCATGAGATGATGATGATGATGATGATGAGAACAACAACAACAGGATTACAACAAGAACAACAATGGTGTTTATTTATAATGCCCTTTTCACACCGGACAAATATAATCAAGGATGCCACAATAAAACATGACAGTATAATATTGCTGTAGTTGTTATTATGTGCCTTCAAGTCATTTCCAACTTATGGCAACCCTAAGGTGAACCCATCATAGGGTTTTCTTGGCATGATGTGTTCAGAGGGTGTTGCCCTGAAGCTGAGAGTATGTGACTTGCCCAAGGTCATCCAGTGGGTTTCTATGTCAGAGGTGGGATTCGAACCCTGGTCTCCCAGTGCCCTAGTCCAATGCTCAAATCATTCTGGCTCTTAGGGAGATTTAAGTCAACCTGAACAACACTGTTCTGGATTAAAACTGGAGGACTGCATGTAGTTTTGTGAGACATTTAGCCTTCTCTGTCGAAAAGCGCTGGTGCCACAAAAATATATAATTCTCAGAATTTTTATTTATTTATTTTCATTTATTTAAGGGATTTATATTCCGCCTTTCTTCCAAAATGGTATTCAAGGTGGCTGAATTCCATAGCATTGAGCCATGGCAATTAAAGCGGCATCAAACTGAATTATTTCCGCAGTGCGGATGCAGCCCTAGGCTTGCGACTGTTGCCTACCCCTGCCTTAATGCTACACAGCAATGTCACATTTGAACTATAGAAAACAACGGGCAGGATGAAACTCAAGGAAAGTCATTTAAAATCCCACTAACTGAAATGGGAAAGGATTATGCCTAGGTTTAATGCTACCGTTCATATCGGCGAGACTGAAAAGTTGTTCGGTTTGGGTGCATCATTTGGGATTAATTGCATGAATAGAAATGAGCATCCCCAAAACAAAAAGGTATTTAAATTGAGAGTCAAAAAGCCCTAGATTATCCTCTTTTGAAACCAAATAATGACAAATAGAGAACAGTTAATAAAGCATCATTGACACATGAATGATGGCTTAGCAATGTGCAGGGTATTTTTTGTTTTGGTTTTTGTATAAAAATTAAAGTGCTGAAGTAAATCCCTGTCAGTTCTGTTGCCTGCAGTAGGTTAATTCCCTTTAATACATTCTGTTATTGGAGAGTTTTAATGACTATTGAACTTGGACAAAGATTGGTAGCTCTGAAGCAGTATCGATTTTTAAGCAGGATGGGAAACTTGTCTTTATTTTGTTTTTATTCCCCCCGTCCCTCAGAGTAGGGAAAAAATCATCCCAATTTTGCGTGTTGAAAAACTGATTGAGAATATCTGGAGATTGTAAGACTGGCTCACTCTTAAAGTCTGTGTAACAAAGGCTTGACTTTAAGAAAGATCAAGATGTTCAAGATTGGTGGTGGCTGGCAGTTTCTATGCCAGTGGGATGGTGAGTACACTATGGGTTTTAATACAAATATGAAAAGACTTACCCGAGGCATCTGAAACCTCTCCTCCAAAGAATTTCAGAACCTTGGATAGCTCCTTTAAAACAGGAGTGGGAGCATTTTTAATCTCTGCATCCCTTTGGGAGCCACACCATCATGTCTGATGTGACCAGAAGTGATGCCATGGCATTTCTGGTTTCATTTTTGGCTGGGTTTTGGCCAATTTGGGGGACGATTGAAGCTTTGTGAAGATCTGGAGGACAAAACCATTCTATTTTGCAGATTTGAGGCATTTTCCTTGTCTTTTGGGGTGGAAAATTGCCTATGGACTAGGGACTGTAGGGGCATTGGAGTTGTAAGATTGAGGCTCTGTGGGCCACACATTCCTCAACTTTACTCTGAAGTCAGAGAAGCATGCCTTTCATAACTTATAGTATCTTATACAGTATGATCCCAATGGATCATAACTGGAGAGCCAGTGTGGCATGGCAGTTTGAGTGTTGGACTATGGCTACCCTTGGATGTCTTCTTGTCAGTGTTGAAGAATGAAGCAACCGTGAGTCAAGGTAGCTTGTGTATGTGGAAAGGAAGGGGATGCCATGTTGTCCTTTGCATCAGTTGGCAGAAGGTCTCGGAGTGGCCCTTGGTCTTCCAAGGGCAAAAATTGGGGAAAATGTAGGGGTAGACTGACCAAAGGCAAAGATCCTGAAATAAGACTGTTCCTAGTATAATAACCATAGTTGGAGTGAAAAGTAGTGGCAGAGAAATTCTCCTCTGGCTTCTCTTGTAATTTCAGAAATGATGACCAACCGCCATCCATCATGCAAGTGTCAACTCTCGAGGTGATACTTTTAATTAGTCTAGAAGCAATAGATAAGTCATGCATTTGGAGGTGTCTCAGGAGCTGTGCTTTTCCACTGAATTATTGCCAGATATCTGTAATTATATTTCCTTCATAAACGGTGTCTTTTCCTGATTAGATCAGCAGTCTATAGACGGGGGGTTGTGAATTGCCTCTGAGCAGTTTGATCTACAACCGAGATGAACAGAAGGACTTGGATTTCTTTCTTTACCACTTTGGTGTCCTGTTCTGAGCATGGGAGAGATGAAAAGCTTGTCTTGGACAAATGAATAAACAAACAAACAAACATTTGTCATTAGGGACAATGAGATCAAGTCCTTTGAGCTGGCTATGTTTATCCTGGAGAACAGAGAGTTGAGGGGAAATCTGATACCGATTTGCAAAAATCTGAATGGTCACTCCTTTTTCTGCATGGCCTTCCTTCAGAAATGTATGGACAACTATCATGTTATCAGGGCCTAAATACGCTAAAGGCATCAAATCCTGTCCTGTTTTGGAATCTAAGCAGGGTCAGCCTGGATGGGAGACCACTAATGGATACCAGGTATTGTAGACATATTTCAGAGGAATGAATTGGCAAAGCAATATCTAAGTATTCCTTATCTAAGAAAAGTGATGAAATTCATGAAGTCACCATAAGTTTACAGGTGACTTGAAGGCACATACATACATACATACATCATGTCACCTCTCAGTCTTCTCTTTTCCTAGCTAAACATTTCCAGCTCCCCCAATTGTTCCCCATAAGTCTCAGGGCCTTTGCAGACTGCTAGAAATAGTGCAAACTGAGTCCACTTTAACTGCCCTGACTCAGTGCTAGAGAATCATGGGAACTGTAGTTTATTGTGGCACCAGAGCTCTCTGACAGAGAAGGCTCAATGTCTCAGAAAAAAATAATACAATTCCCATGATTCCCTAGCACTGAGACAGGGCAGTTAAAGTGGACTCAATTTGCACTATTTCTAGCAGTCTGCAAAGGCCCTTAGTTTCCAGACCTTTGGTCCTTCTTTTCTGGACATGTTCCAGCTTGTCAATATCCTTCTTTGACAATTAAAAAAAACAACCCAAGGGTTTTTTCGTTATTTATGGGGGAAAATTCTGAATGTTTAATTCATGTTAAAACAAAACTGAAATGCAATTCTCAACCTACTGTGGTTGAAATGGAAGTATAATTAAATTGCACACATAAATCTCTCTTTTCTTGCTGTCAGTCTTCAGTTTGTGGTTTAAATATTGGCTATGGATATTTAGCTGAGAGGAACCATGACAATAAAAAATAGAAGCAAAGCATTAGCTGAATTCCAAAATCTCATCCCAAGGGGGCAGTGTTATGCTGTCGATCTTTTCTTTACTTCCCACACTGTCGGTAGACAATTTTGTAGTTTTGGTTGTGTCTGGACACAAATGAAATTATTAGATGCAT